ATGACTCCACAGATATTAAAAGTATTAGTTTAGCAACATAAGTGAAATGGACAAATTCTTTAGAAACACAATATATCAAAACTGATACAAGAAGAAAAAATGTATATTCCTGTATCTATTATTAATTATATATTTCATAAATCTTCCCAAAAATGTTCTTCTATTCAGAAAAAACAACCACTAATTCTATACATCCTACACAATTTCTTTTAAAACACAGAAAACCTGACAAAACACCAAAAAACACCAAAACCTGATTAAAAAAAATTACAAGCAAGGAAATCTACAGTCCATTTTCTCTCATAAACATAGATGTAGCAAATTATAAATGCCATCAAATTATTTCTAGTGATCTATAAAAATGATTATACATCATAAATAGTATTGATCACAATTTAAAGTGGTCTCAACTTTTAAAAGTCAACATACATACAGTGTCACACTGACTTCAAAAGGGATAAAAATTGAATGATCATTTCAACAGATGAAGAAAAAATACTTGATAAAATTCTACAACCGGCCAGGTACAGTGGCTAGCACCTATAATCCCAGCACTTTGAGAGGCTGAGGTGGGAGGATCTCTGAATCCAGGAGTGTGAAGACCAGCCTGGGCAAGATAATGAGATTCCATATTTACAAAAAAAAAAAAAAAATTAGCTGGGTGTTGTAGCACATGCTTACAGTCCTAGCTACTTGGAAGACTGAGACGGGAGGATTGCTTGTGCCCAGGAGGTCCATGCTGGTCCAAGCTGCAGTGAGCCAAGATCATGCCACTGCTCTCCAGATTGGATGGCAGAGCAAAATCTGGCTTCAAAAGAAAATAATAATAATCTACAACCATCTGTCATTAAAAACATTTAGCAAACTCTAAATAAAAGGAAATCTCTTCAATCTTAAGAGTATCCAACAAAAAACACCAGAAAATACTATACTTCTCATATGCATGGACTATGGACACTTTCTCCCAAGGCTGGGAATAAGATAATATTGCCTGATATCTCTTTTTATTTCAACAGTGTACTGATGGTCATAGCCTGTTAAGAGACGATATAAGAACAGGAAAGAAAAAACGGTTATTATGCACAGATGAGATTATTGTGCACATAGAAAATCTAAAAAATTTACTTCAAATAATAATCAAGCATTTTGCAAAGTTGCTGGATACAAAAATAATATGAAAATTATATTTCCATATGCCTTCAACAGAGAAAAAATATGTAAAAAATTGTAAAAGCATTAAAAACTCAAGTATCTAAAAAACAAATGTAATTAAAGATGGGGAGGATTTATATATAAAAAACTAAAAATATTTTTAAGAACACTTAATGTATACCTAAGTAAATAGGGGTACATACCATATTAGTCCTTTGAAACCTCAAAGTTGTAATTAAGTTAATCTCTCCAAATTTATCTACAGATTGAATCCAATGCAAGTCAAAATCTCTCCTGTCTTTGGTAGAAATTGACAAGTTGATTCTAAAGTTTATAAATAAGCCAATCTTGAAGAAGAAAACAAAGTTGGAGAATTTAAACCACCCAATAGGAATACTAGTTTTAACACAGTAGTAATGAGGGTAGTATAATATTGACACTAAGACAGACAGAGATCAATGATACTGTAGAGTCCAGAAATAAACCAACACTTTTATGCTCACCTGATTTAAGACTACATTGGGAGAAAATGGTCAATTTGATAACCATATGATAAAAAATTAAATTTTGGTTCTTACTCCATACCAAGTAAAAATAAGCCAATTTTAGATGGATTAGAAATTTAAAGATGAAAGATAAAATGATCTATTCATCAAAATCCAAAATGTTCAAAATAAGTTTAAATATAGGTTAATTAATAAATCATTACCAGTAAATGTATTTTTGAAAAAATGTTTAAAATCATAGAAAATATCAAAACTTTTCCAACTCATGTATAATATGGATGTAAAACTTGGAATAAACCAAAATAACATGAAGCAGAGTTATCTTTGGTTAGTAGAAATATTCATGTTTGCCTTCTTTATCTTTTTTGTTTGTGGTTTTAAACTTTATACAATGGGTATAAATATTTTTAACCTGGAAAAAAGTTGTTTTTTAAAAAATTTGCACCAACTAATTTATAACTCAACTGATATTTTTTATCTCATGTACATCTACTTAAAGTCATTTATACCATCTGGTCATTGCAGAGTATACTTCCCAAATGATAAGTATGATAAGTATGACCCGCCTGACCCAAGTTATTTTTTTTGGCAGTGTTTTAATAAATTTGAACACTATTTATTTGCTTGTTTTTATTTCACTTATTTGATTTTTCCAGACACACATTGAGAGTAACTCAAAAATTCCTAGATTTAAATTTTAAACAGCTGACTGTGCTTTTAAACTTAAAGGGGCTTTCCACCAAGATGGCGAGGCCAAATAGGAACAGCTCCAGTTGGCAGTTCGCAGCGAGAGCCATGCAGAAGCTGGGTGATCTCTGCATTTCCAACTGAGGTACCAGGCTCATCTCACCTACAAGTCTACAGTAATCTAAACAGCACGGTACTGGTACCAAAACAGAGATATAGACCAGTGAAACAGAACAGAGGCCTCAGAAATAATGCCAAACATCTATAGCCATCTGATCTTTGACAAACCTGACAAAAAACAAGCAATGGGGAAAGGATTCCCTATTTAACACACAGTATTGGGAAAACTGGCTAGCCATATGCAGAAAACTGAAATTGGATCCCTTCCTTACACCTTATACAAAAATTAACTCTAGATGGATTAAATATATAAACATAAGATCTAATACCATAAAGATCCTATGAGAAAACCTAGGCCATACCATTCAGGACACAGGCATGGGCATCATTAGCCTCTAGGGAAACCCAAATAAGTATAATAACCTAATACTACCAAACTAGCAGAATGGCTAAAATAAAAAATAGTGACAATAACAAATGCTGGTAAGGGTTTGGATAAATGGAATCATTCATACAATGTTGGTGAGAATGAAAAATGGTACAGACATCATGAAAAACAGGTTGACAGCTACCTTAAAATCAAAACATGCAACTACCATAAAACCACTAACTGCATTCCTGGGCATTTATACTGGAGAAATGAAGACTTACATTCACACAAAGAAACCTGTACATAAATGTTTATAACAACTTTAGGCAGGCTTGGTGTCTCATGTCTCTAATCCAAGCACTTTGGAGGCCAAGGCTGGTGGACCACCTGAGATTGGGAGTTCAAGATCAGCCTGACCAACATGGTGAAACCCTGTCTTTAAAAAATAAATAAATAAATAAAAATAACAGCTTTATGTGTAATAGCCCCAAACTGGAAACTATCCTGATGTCCTTCAATGGGTAAATAGTTAAACAAATTGTGGTATATTCATACCATAGAATACTACTCAGCAATATGAAAGGGTATTAATACAGACAACTTGAATGAAACTCCAGGAAATTGTACTTAATGAAAAAAACCAATTCCCAAAGGTTATATTTTTATATGATTTTATATACTAAAATGAGAAAATTACAGAAATGAAGAACAGATTAGGGGTTCACTGGAGATTAAGAAGAAGGTGGGAGCCAGAGGAAAGGGGGTGTTGCTGTAAAAGAGAACATGAGGGGTGCTTACGGTAATAGAAATCTTGACTGTGGAGTTGTATAGTGGTATTGCCAGATGTTACTATAGGGGTGGAAGGCACTGTGTAAAGATACAGATCTCCCTTCATTACTTCTTACAATCACATGTGAATCTGTAATGATCTTAATATTAAAATTAAAAAACTTAAGCTATAATTATAAGCCTCCATATATATTAGTTTTATAAAAATTAAAAAATGGATTAGGTGATCATTACACAAAAAACAGAACACATTTCATGAAATAGGTTAATTGGTTTTTCTCTGCCACTAGGTAGACATAGTTCAGTGTAACTTCATGTACTCCAGAGATAGTAATTTGGGAGACAGCCATTGTCATCTGTTCATTTCTACTGTTGGTTTATGAACTTCTACATATGATACATCAATAAGCCTTCTGTACGGTCACCTTTTAATTAGTGTAATAATAATACCAACTTCTTACAAGTAAAAAGAAAACCTGCACAACTGGATTTCAACTTTTTAATGAATTCTACTCTAAGTCTACTAAGCCTGAGCAAGACCTCAGTAGGAAGAGTACAGTTACGAGCATTGCAGCATTCTGTGCAAAAAAGATTAGTGTCTGGACAAGTCAAGTAACCTTAATGGAACCAGTTCTCTGCATAATTAAAAAGAGCTGGGTTACAAATTTCTCAGAAAAAAAAATCATTTATCTCTGAATAGAAATCGATATAATGAAACATCCTCCAATTGTGTCTGTTGACACGATGAAATGCAACAACGGCCGGGCGTGGTGACTCACGCCTGTAATCCCAACACTTTGGGAGGCCGAGACGGGTGGATCATGAGGTCAAGGGATCGAGGCCATCCTGGTCAACACAGTGAAACCCCGTCTCTATTAAAAATACAAAAAATTAGCTGGGCATGGTGGCACATGCCTGTAATCCCAGCTACTCAGGAGGCTGAGGCAGAAGAATTGCCTGAACCCAGGAGGCAGAGGTTGCGGTGAGCCGAGATCATGCCATCGCACTCCAGCCTGGGTAACAAGAACAAAACTCCATCTCAAAATAAAAGAAAAAAGAAATGCAACAAATACCTAAGTAAGGTAGTTGTTTACTGTTAGCTCAGTAATATAAAGACCAATTTATCTTTGAGTTTTATGATTTGGAACTTAGGTACTTGAGGCTTAGACAAGCACTGTTATCAGGGAACAACACACAAAAAATAGTTGTCATGAGATTTACAAAAAGAATCCAAGAAATGATGATAAAATTACAGAATTATTTTTATCTATTTTAACAGTTAATGAAGGTGTCGACTTCCTTGTAAATAATGTGAATCAGAAGTCTGAAGTTTCACTAAGTACCTGATTGTCAGAGTACTTAGAAAATATGCCTAATAGCAGTTGCTTCAGCGTTCTGGTGTTGCTGCACTGCAGAGCCTGTGCGGTCTTTAGACAAGATGCCTGAGGAAACCCAGACCCAAGAATAACTGATGGAGGAGCAGGAGGTGGAGATGTTCGCCCTTCAGGCAGAAATTGCCCAGTTGATGTCACAGATCATCAAAACTTTCTATTCAAACAAAGAGATCTTTCTGAAAGAGCTCATTTCAAATTCCTCGGATGCATTGGACAAAATCCGGTATGAGAGCTTGACAGATCCCAGTAAATTGGACTCTGGGAAAGAGCTGCATATTAATCTTATACCAAACAAACAAGATCAAACCCTCACTATTGTGGATACTAAAATTGGAATGACCAAGGCTGACTTGATCAATAACCTTGGTACTATAACCAAGTCTGGGACCAAAGCGTTCGTGGAAGCTTTGCAGGCTGGTGCTGATATCTCTATAATTGGCCAGTTTGGTGTCACCAATCAAAAGACACAGACTGGCAAATTGGATAAAAAACCAAAACCCATCGGTGTGCTGTATCCAGGAAACACATCTCACATGCAAGGATACACAAAGGCTCAAAATAAAAAGAGGGAGGAAGACTTAACAAGCAAATGGAGAACAAGAAAAAGCAGAAGTTGCAATTCTCCTCTCTGATAAAATAGACTTTAAAGCAATAAAGATCCAAAAAGACAAAGAAGGACGTTACATAATGGTAAAATGATCAATACAAAAAGAAGAACTAAAAATCCTAAATATATACGGACCAAATACAGGAGCACCCAGATACATAAGGCAAGTTCTTAATGGCTTACAAAGAGACTTAGATTCCCTCACAATAATAGTGGGAGACTTTAACACTCCACTGTCAATATTAGACAGATGAACCAGACAGAAAATTAACAAGGATATACAGGACCTGAACTCAGACCTGGAACAAACAAAGCTGATAGACATTTACAGAACTCTCCACCCTAAATCAGCAGAATATACGTTCTTCTCAGCAACACATCACACCTACTCTAAAATTGACCACATAATTGGAAGTAAAGCACTCCTCAGCAAATGCAAAACAACTGAAATCATAACAAACAGTCTCTCAGACCTTAGTGTAATCAAGTTAGAACTCAGAATTCAGAAACTAACTCAGAACTGCACAGCTTCATGAAAACTGAACAACTGGCTCTTGAATGTTGACTGGATAAACGATGAAATGAAGGCAGAAATAAAGTAGTTCTTCGAAACCAATGAGAACAAAGACACAACATACCAGAATCTCTGGGACACATTTAAAGCAGTCTCAAGAGGAAAATGTATAGCAATAAGTGCCCATATGAGAAGAGTGGAGAGATCCAAAATTGACACCCTATCGTCAAAATTGAAAGAGCTAGAGGAGCAAGATCAAAAAAACTCAAAACCTAGCAGAAGGCAAGAAATAACTAAGATCAGAGCAGAACTGGTGGAGATAGAGACATGAAAAACCCTTCAAAAAATAAATAAATTCAGGAGCTGGTTTTTTGAACAGATCAACAAAATAGACCACTAGCCAGATTAATAAAAAAGAAAAGAGAGAATAACCAAATAGATGGAATAAAAAATGATAAAGGGGAAATCACCAATAGATGGAATAAAAAATGATAAAGGGGAAATCACCACAGATTCCACAGAAATTCAAACCATCATCAGAGAATATTACAAACAACTTTATGCACATAAACTAGAAAACCTGGAAGAAATGGATAAATTCCTGGACACGTGTATCCTCCCAAGACTAAACCAGCAAGAAGTCGAAACCATGAATAGACCAATAACAAGATCTGAAGTTGAGAAAGCAATTAAGAGCCTACCACCCAAAAAAAGCCCAGGTACAGATGGGTTCACAGCCGAATTCTACCAGACACACAAAGAGGAACTATTACCACTCCTTCTGAAACTATTCCAAATAATCCAAAAGAGGGAATCCTTCCCAAATCATTTTATGAGACCAACATCATCCTGATACCAAAACCCAGCAGAGACTCAACAAGAAAAGAAAACTTCAGGCCAATATCCACAATGAACATAGACACGAAAATCTTCAATAAAATACTGGCAAGCCAATTGCAACAGCACATCAAAAAGCTTATCCATCATGATCAAGTAGGATTCATCCCGGGGATGAATGCAAGGCTGGTTCAACATACACAGGTCTATAAACGTAATTCACCACATAAACAGAACCAAAGACAAAAACCACATGATTATCCCAATTGATGCAGAGAAGGCCTTTGACAAAATTCAACAGTGCTTTATGCTAAAAACCCTCAATAAACTCAGTATTGACGGAATGTATCTCAAAATAATAAAAGCTATTTAAGACAAACCAACAGCCAATATTATACTGAATGGGTAAAACTGGAAGCATTCCCTTTGAAATCTGGCACTAGACAAGGATGCCCTCTCTCATCACTCCTATTCAATATAGTACTGGAAGTTCTAGCCAGAGCAATCAGACAAGAAAAAGAAATAAAGGGTATTCAAATAGGAAAGGACGAAGCCAAATTGTCTCTATTTGCAGATGACATGATAGTATATCTAGAAGACCCCATCGTCTAAGCCCAATATCTCCTGAAACTGATAAGCAACTTCAGCAGTCTCAGGATACAAAAATCAGTGTGCAAAAATCACAAGGATTCCTATACACCAATAACAGACTTAAAGAGAGCCAAATCAAGACAGAACTGCCATTTAAAATTGCTACAAAGAGAATAAAATACCTAGAAATACAACTAACAAGGAACATAAGGGACCTCTTCAAGTAAAACTACAAACCACTGCTCATTGAAATAAGAGAGGACACAAACAGATGGAGGAACATTCCATGTTCATGGTTAGGAAGAATCAATATCGTGAAAAGGGTTATACTGCCCAAAGTAACTTACATATTCAACGCTATCCTCATCAAGCTACCGATGACCTTCTTCACAGAACTGGAAAAAACCACCTTAAACTTTATATGAAACCAAAAGAGAGCCCACATAGCCAAGTCAATTCTAAGTAAAAAGAACACAGTGGGAGGCATCACACTACTGAACTTCAAGCGATACTAAAGGCTACAGTAATCAAAACAGCATAGTACTGATACCAAAACACATATCTAGACCAATGGAACAAAACAGAGGCACGGGAGGCAACACAACATATCTACAACCATACATTCTTTAATAAACCTGACAAAAACAAGCAATGGGAAAGGATCCCCTGTTTAACAAATGGTGTTGGGACAACTGGCTTGCCATGTGCAGAAAGCAGAAACTGGACCTCTTTCTGAAACCTTAAAATAAAATTAACTCCAGATGGATTAAAGACTTAAACATAAGACCTAACACCATAAAAACACTAGAAAAAAATCTAAGCAAAACCATTCAGGACATAGGAGTAGGCACGGACTTCATGACCAAAACACCAAAAGCATTGGGAACAAAAGTGAAAATAGACAAATGGGACCTAATCAAACTTCACAGCTTCTGCATGGCAAAAGAAACAATCATTAGTCTGAATTGGCAACAAACAGAATGGGAAAAAAATTTTGCCATTGACCCATCTGACAAAGGGCTGATATCCAGAATTTACAAAGAACTAAAAAATATTTACAAGAGAAAAACAAACAACCCATTCAAAAGTAGGCAAAGGATATGAACAGACACTTTACAAAAGAAGACATACATGAGGCCAACAAACATATGAAAAAATGCCCATCATCACTGGTCATTAGAGAGATGCAAATCCAAACTACATTGAGATACCACCTCATGCCAGTTAGAATGGCGATCATTAAAAAATCTGGAGACAACAGATACTGGAGAGGATGTGGAGAAATAGGAACACTTTTGCACGCTGGTGGGAGTGTAAAATTGTAGAAGACAGTGTGGCGATTCCTCAAGGACCTAGAAATAGAAATTCCATTTGACCCAGCAATCCCATTACTGGGTATATATCCAAAGGACTATAAATCGTTCTACTATAAGGACACATGCACACGAATGATTGTTGCAGCACTGTTTACAATAGCAAAGACCTGGAATCAACCCAAATGTCCATTGATGATAGACTAGACAGGGAAAATGTGGCACATATACACCATGGAATATTATGCAGCAATCAAAACCAAAAGGTTCGTTGTCCTTTGTAGGGACATGGATGAACCTGGAGAACATCATCCTCAGCAAACTGACACAAAAACAGAAAATGAAATACTGCATGCAGCAGGAGGTGCAATTCTCAACTCTGATAAAATAGACTTTAAAGCAACAAAGATCAAAAGAGACAAAGAGGGCCATTACATAATGGTAAAACGATCGATAAAACAAGAAGAGCTAACGATCCTAAACATATATGGACCCAATACAGGAGCACCCAGATACATGAGGCAAGTTCTTAATGACTTACAAAGAGACTTAGACTCCCACACAATAATAGTGGGAGACTTTAACACCCCACTGTCAATATTAGACAGATCAACCAGACAGAAAATCAACAAGGATATCCAGGGCTTGAACTCAGACCTGGAACAAACAAAGCTGATAGACATTTACAGAACTCTCCACCCCAAATCCACAGAATATACATTCTTCTCAGCACCACATCACACCTACTCTAAAATTGACCACATAATTGGAAGTAAAGCACTCCTCAGCAAATGCAAAACAACTAAAATCATAGCAAACAGTCTCTCAGACCATAGTGCAATCAAGTTAGAACTCAGAATTCAGAAACCAACCCAAAACCGCACAGCTCATGGAAACTGAACAACTGGCTCTTGAATGTTGACTGGATAAACAATGAAATGAAGGCAGAAAGAAAGAAGTTCTTCGAAACCAATGAGAACGAAGACACAACATGCCAGAATCTCTGGGACACATTTAAATCAGTCTCTAGAGAAAAATATATAGCAATAAGTGCCCAAATGAGGAGAATGGAGAGATCCAAAATTGATACCCTATCGTCAAAATTGAAAGAGCTAGAGGAGCAAGATCAAAAAAACTCAAAACCCAGCAGAAGACAAGAAATAACTAAGATCAGAGCTGAACTGAAGGAGATAGAGACATGAAAATCCCTTCAAAAAATCAATAAATCCAAGAGCTGGTTTTTTGAAAAGATCAACAAAATAGACAGACCACTAGCCAGACTGATAAAAAAGAAAAGAGAGAACAACCAAATAGATGCAATAAAAAATGATAAAGGGGAAATAACCACAGATTCCACAGAAATTCAAACCATCATCAGAGAATATTACAAACAACTCTATGCACATAAACTAGTAAACCTGGAAGAAATGGATAAATTCCTGGACTCCTGTGTCCCCCCAAGCCTAAACCAGGAGGAAGCTGAAACTATGAATAGACCAATAACAAGGTCTGAAGTCGAGGCAGCAATTAAGAGCCTACCACCCAAAAAAAGCCCAGGTACAGATGGGTTCATAGCCGAATTATACCAGACACACCAAGAGAAGCTGGTACC